GCCAGATTTGTCATAACAATGGTTATGTTGAGAATCAAGCTTCAAGTTATTGTCTTGAAGGAAGTGATCCCTCTCCTAAGCAAGGGATAAGTGCTCTAAGTGGATTAGAATGCAATGCAAATGATTGTCAGAATTCTCTGAATATGGAAAGGGTTGAAGTATGCTCGGTATCTGCAGAACAATCAAAGCAGAAGGTACATCCTGCACTGCTTGGTAGATCGGTTCCAATTAGTGGTCAGGGCAAGGGAAGTCTTTCAAATGCAACAAGCACCACTCTAGGGACAACCTCTCCACGTCGAAAGTCGGTCGAAGGTAGGCTCAGTGTTGGGACAATCTGTCCGCGTAGAAAGTCTTTTGAAGGTAGGTTCAAGCACCGGGATTCAGTAGGACACTGGGGCTCATCAGAGCCAGTGAATCCACACATAGCTCGAGGTATGAAAGGTTGGATTGAATGGCCAGGCGGCTTGTTGAAAAAGGCTTTGAAGGTCAAGCTATCGGAGTCAAAAGAAAGCCAGAAAGTACATCTGAATAATACCCAAAAATAGATGAGTTATTGAAAACTAACTTCCAGAAACTACAAAATATACATACATTGCTGCTTGAGCAAGTATGAGCAGAGAAAGAAAGAGGCTGTTGAGTTTGATCACCTGAAAGTCGTTTCACTGTAATATGTAGAAGACACCTTTGATAGCTAGATCCGCTTCTATGAGTCTCATTGGTCTGTTCAATTCAGCCAGGCCCAGAAGTTTCCATTCTACATCACATGTTTCAAGTTATTGAAACAGTCTTCCATGAGTATGTTGTATGTCATATATGTAGCCTGTTCCCACTTGTATATGCCATATGCCGTCTCATAATTCTAGGCTCCTGGCCTTATTCAGCTATGCAAATCCCCTTGTAGAACTGATATGATTTACATATGTGAGCATGCAATGCACTTTTTTCCCATAACATCTCCATCATATCCACAAGGAATATCTCCTTCTCTATTTTGCCCCATATTTCCACTGTGTGTATCTTTGAGTTCTCTTCCATGCCAGAACCATTCTTCCTTTGTACAGGAGGGGCAAGAGAGTGTAGATTTCTTGTGAAGTTGTTGACTCAAATTCAGGTTCTTTTCCAAGAAAGAACAATTAGACATGTGTTCATTATTCTCACCGTTTGAAAAAACAGATAAAGAACTAGATGCTAGGATGTGCTTGTTTCTCTTGTTTGTATCACCTCTGAACCAACGGCGGAGCCAGGAATTTTGGTCAGGGGGCCAAATTTTCAAGTCTAAAAATAATAAATTATAATTTCAAAAACTTGCTTTTACATCATAAATTAAATTAATATTTGACGAGATTTCATGTCACAAAATCGATCAATAATGGAGTCTATACTAAATGTTTGAACAATTTCCTTTTCAATGTAAATAATTAAAGATTTTGAAAGGAATTCATCTTCCATCTTGTTGCGAAACCTTGTTTTCACAATTTTCATGATAAAAAATGCTCTTTCTGTTATTGCTATAAAAATTGGAAGAATAAGCACTAAAATAATTAACTTGTAAATGAAATTGTAAATCTCTAATTTTCTTGTTTCTGCAAACCATTGACATAGCTCAGAAATGTTTGACAAATTCTAAAAACCTTGATCATAACTTGTTTTAATCTCATAATGTCAAAACTCTGTTCTCAAATGAAGTTTCTTCATCTCTAAAAAATCTTAAGGATAGTATTTTTCTACAAGCCTACAAATATTATTAATATTGAAACTCTTGCACCCATTTATAGGATCGAAAGCACCACTAAGAGTCAATAGTTCCATTGCATTTTCATTAAATTTGCCATTCAATTCTTGCAATTGGGAATCTACTACAACATTGAAAATATCTACTCAATAATGGTGCTCAACAATAATAATATCTTGTTCATGATGAGCATGTTTTCCTCGTGCAACATATGTAGCAAGCATGTTAGGAGCATCTATATTGTTATTCTTATAAAATGATTTTACCTTTTTAAATAAACAATTCCACCCACTTTCTCTTAATTATTGAATGAGAACCTTCGTTGATTTAACAAGATTCAAGGCATTCAAAATATCTTGAGATTTACGTTGCAGAGCTTGACAAAGCATATTATGATCTCGATGATTTCTTTCATAAGATGTAAAACAAAAACAAACTCAAAAGATAACAATGCATTATATCCTACAAATAAAAAATATATATATATATTAGTTACCTTCGGAATTTCTTTTAAGCTGCAGAATTTAGATAAATTTTAGAGATATCACTGTGTTATATTAACTTTAAATGCTTTTCCACATTGAGAAGATGTAGATCCTTCCTTAATCAACTTGTTGAGAATTGTTAAAGTTGCACTAAACATTTTTAGCATAATTGAAATAGATTTCAAATGCAAACTCCAATGAGTGTCACCAGGTCGTTGTAAAGTGCCAATTTGATTAAGTCCACTTCCAGTTTCAAGCTCATTATTTTTAATCAATTAAGCAATATTAGAAGCATAAATAGATTTCAATTGATTGTTGCGCTTAGAAGAAGCTACAACAACATTAACAATGCATGTCAAGTTTGAAAAAAAGTTACACACGAGAAGGACCTCCTTTGATGATGCAACTAAAGTTAATTGTAAACGATGAGTTAAGTAGTGAATATAGTAAGCATATGAACAGTTTTTACTAGTCAAAGCTTGAAGTCCATTAAATTCACCTCTCATATTACTTGCACCATCATATCCTTGATCACAAATGTTTTCAATGTTAAGATCGTAATGATGAAGTAAAGAAAAAATAGCATCTCTTAAGGTTTTAGCTAATGTATCTGTCACATGAACCACACCAAAGAAGCATCCTCTCAAAATGCTTTTTTGTCAACAAATCTTAGAATCAAGGCCATTTGCTCCCTCTTTGACTCATCTCTTGCTTTATCAACAATAACACAAAATTTAGCATCACCTATCTCTTGGCAAATACTTTCTCTTACTTTATCCACCAGAACTTGTAAAATCTCTTTTTGAGTTTCTGTTTTGAGTTTCTTGTGAAGTATACAAAGCATTTTGAGGAGCATTCTCCATGGCAAGTCTAACATTCTCATTATAAGCTGACAATAACTTCAATAATTCAAGAAAATTCCCGCGATTTCTCGAGTTGTTACTGTCATCGTGACCTCTAAAAGTACAGCGTTAAGTTGCAAGCCATTTTACTGTATCAATTGAAACTTGAAGTCGTAGCCGATTGTCTAAAACTTGTTGTGTAGTTTCTTTATGAAACAAATGTTCAATGTGTTGAGATTGCTTCATCAGATCTTGACAAGCTCTTTCATTGATTTTATGAGAAGAGTTGGGATCATTTCCTACATGGTTCAAAAAAGCACATCTCTTCCCATCTCTTCCCATCTCTTACTTTCTTCCATTTCGAAAACCACCCATAATGAATGCATCACGTCACCACCACCTCTAGAGTTTCCTCCCATGTTGTAGAAGAGAAAACAATAGAGACAAAAAATTGCATCTTTCTCAGGAGAATATTCCAATCAAGATGAA